GACAGCTATTCTACAATCATATATTCTTAAGTGGCCTATGCAGGCATTAATTTCATACACATACAATAAAAATAGACTGTGACCTCCACTTCATTTATCTTTCTCTTGAGACAGGGTCTCATATGTAGCACTGGCTGGGTTGGAACTTGCTATGTAGCCCATGCTGGTCTTGGACTCACAGAAATCTACCTGCCTCTGCTGACAGCTATTCTACAATCATATATTCTTAAGTGGCCTAAATGAAACCCTCCCTCCCTCCCTCCTTCCCTCCCTCCCTCTGTAAGGGCTTTTAGTACCTCTAGAAAGTCCCCTTTGCCTCCAAATCACTCCCTTTTCCATGTCTTGACATCTACCATTCTACAACTTCTCTGAGCTGAGCCACCTCTCCACTGCCCACGTTCAGTCCAGGTTGTACTGTCTTTCCACCTCTGACGCTCCTGCTTTTGGGACTTCTCTCTCACAACGCCACAGTTTCCTGGGCTGCCTTTATGATTTAGTGGGTACTTTTTAAAAGTGGTGCTGGGGATTGAACTAAGATCCTTGTGCTAAACACATGATTTATTATTGAGCTGCACTCACTCACAGCCTTAAAATTCTTTACCATCCAGGACAATAAGCCTTTGTGGCCATCCAGGGTTGACTCTCTTCAGATGTCTGGAGATGAGACTTGACTTATGAATTATCTGAATTTACAAATTTATCAATTTTGTTGTCATCTTTCTGTTAGTGAAAAAAGTACCTGAGATAAATCAACTTTCAAAAAAAGGGAAAGGCCTATTTTAGCTTACAGGTTTGGAGGTTTCAGCACACAGTTGGTTGGCTCAGTTATTTCTGGGCCTGTGGCAAGTCAGCACCCCTTAGCAAGGGGCATTTAGTGGAACAAGTGGCAATCAGGAAGCAAAAAAGAAAAGAACAGCATATCACAGTCACCTCTGATGATACACTCTCAATGATCTAAAACCTGCTAGGTCCCACCTCTTAAAGGTTTCCAGCACCTTCCAATAGCACCAACCTGGGAACCAAGTCTTTGACCTATAGATCTTTAGAGAACAGTGATATTTTGATAGAATTTTATTATATTAATTTTAGTTACCACCCAACATGAAGACACTTGTAACTATGACCTCACTGGGCACCCATTTTATTATCTCTAGGAAAAGAACAAAAGGTTAAGGGCTATCATATTTAGCAATTATTCCACAGAACTAAATTTCTTTTTCTTTTATTCTTTGAGACAGGGTCTCATGTAGTCCAGACTGGCCTTAAACTTCTGGTCCTCCTGCCTCTACTTCCCAAGTGCTAGGATTACAGATGTGCACCACCATACCAAGTTATCAGTGTAAGTTTAAACGTTGAAAGATATGCCTGTTATGCTCTCAAGTTTAGCTCTCTATATCATACTTAATGGGAGATGACCAGTAAAGCCTTCAACCATGTCTAGCACTACAAATACTAATACCACTAACCACCAGAGGGCGGTACGATAAGGCAGCAAGTGAGGTAGGCACAAAGGACAGTAAGCTGCACTGACTGAATTTTTATTCCAATTAGACTCCACAAAACATTTTGCCTGTCTGCTTTACAGTGTGGCCTGTGTAGTTAACAGGAGTAGAAATGACATTTACTATCTCATGGCTCAAGTACATGACCAAATAAAATGACCACTCTTTGATCACGTGGGGTGCCTCTTCATTCATTGAGTATCCACAGTAAACACTGTGTGCTAGACACTGTTTTATGAACACAGGGCGGAGTATTTAATAAAGTATAGATTCATGACCCTGTGGAACTGTTATTATGGTGGGAATATATAGCCTAATAAATAAATTACATAGCATATTAAGAGGTAAGGAGAGCTGTGGAAGGAAAAGCAGACCTGGGTACAGGAAGAGTGGGATTCAGATAGGAGTAGGCTCAGGGTGGGAACATCCACACAAGACTGAGGTGATGAGATGAATGTGGTTTTCTGGAATTATTCCAGACAGATTGAATAATAAAGCTGTAAGGCAGGAGAGTCACTAGTAATAAGTGGGTTGGAGGTTATAGAACAGATCAAGAACAGCTTCATATGCCTTGGTGAAGCTTGGTGTTTACTTGTGAGTAAAGGGTGGAGGGATGGTAGGATTTTGTGTAGAGGAGGCATTATTAAAGCATCACTTTGAGGAAAAAAAAGCCTTAAAGAGGTTTATCTCCTATGGAAGCTTCCAGATATTCAGTTCATCAGCTCATTAAAAAGTATAGTGATGAAGCTGGAGAGATGGCTCAGAGGCTATGAGCATGTATTGCTCTTGCAGACGACCCTGGCTCAGTTCCCAGCACCCAATATGGGTATCTCATAACTCTCCAGGGGATCTGACACTTTCTTCTGGCTTCCTCGGGCAACTGCATTCATGTGCACCACACGCAGACACATGCACACAATTAAAAATAAAATAATATTTTTTAAAGTATGGTGATGGACAGTTAGAGGCAGTGATGTTGCTGTGCCACATTTCTCAATCTTTCCAACACTTTAAAAAATATTTTATTTTTATTTTATGTATTGTGTGGATTGCCTGCATGTAGGTAAGTGCACCCATATTGTGCAATGCCCTTGGAGGACAGAAGAGGCTATCAGATCCCTTGGAACTGGAGTTATGGACAGTTGTTAGCTGCCATGTGTGTGCTGGGATTCGAACCTGGGTCTTCTGCAAGAATAGCTAGTGTTCTTAACTGCTGAGCCATCTCTCCAGCCCCCAAATACTTTATTTTTTTGTCTTTCTGAGACAGGGTCTCCCTGGAGACTCAGCTGGTCTGAAACTCGCTTTGTAGACCAGACTGGCCTTGAACTCACAGAAATCCACCTGCCTCTGCCTCCCAAGTGCTGGGATCAAAGGTGTGTGTCACCACGCCCAGTTCTTTCCAACACTTTTAAGATGAGATTTATTCTAGTTTGGTTTCTGTTGCTGTGATAAAACACTGACTAAAAGCAACTCGGGGGAGGAAAGGGTCTATTTGGCTCACAAGCCACAGTTCATCACTAAGGGAAGTCGAGGCAGGAACATGATGCTGCTTACTGACTTGCTCAGCTACCTATCTTATACAACACAGGACCACCTGCCCAGGTCCGGCACTGCCCACAGGGGCTGGACCCTTCTACATCAATTGGCAATTAAGAAAATGTCTCACAGACAATCTGATGGAGAATTCATCATTTGAGTATGTCAAGTTGGACAAGCAAGACTAACCATCACAATGTCAACACTAATAGCTCTATGTTAGAAAGCATAAAAGGGAGACTGTGTAAGCTAGCGATTTATTCTAGGTTAGATGAATACAACTCAATTAAGCCACGTATGAAGCACTCTGCTTAAGCAAGTTTGAAAACGCCAGCACTGAGGAATTGAAGATGGTGGTGGAAGGAGGATTGGGAGGAGCATAAATGCTTGAGTTCAATCACCATACACTCCTTCATTTTAAAATTCAACACTAGACATGCAGTGTACTGCATTGATCTAACAGTGATTTTTTTTAAAACAAAGATTATTTTTATGTGCATGAGTGTTTTGCATTCATGTACGTGCACCACATGTGCATCTGGTGCCTGTGGAGGCCAGAAGAGGGCCGCTCCCCTGAAACTGTGGAGTTACAGCTGGTTGTGAGCCACCAGGTGGATGATGGGAACTGAACCCAGGTTTTTTCCAAGAGCAGCAAGTGTTCTGAACTGCTGAGCCATCTCTCCATCCCCAACTAAAGGTGATTTCCAAGTTTCCATTCTGAGCTTGGTATCATGGCAGTCTGTTCAGTAATGATCTCGCCTCTTAAGTAGACAGCAACAATCACTGTTTCTCTACGTTTTCTTTCAAACTACAGTGGCTGAAAACTACTAGGGTAATGTTGCATCCCTGGGAGCCATGAGGCAAACACTGAAACTGAAAGTGTTACTCTATCGGTTAAATCTAAAAAGTTCACTTTTTTCTTCATATATATAATGTATATATATGATATATATATATATATGGTATATATATGGGGGGGGGTGTCTCCCTGTAGCCTCAGGTGGCCCAGAACTGGCTATGCAGCCAAGGCTGGCTTCTGCGTCTGCCTCCCTCGTGCTGGGATTAAAGACGTGTGCCAAAACATCCAGTTTATTTTTATATTTTAACTGAGGCTGTCTATACAAAGACGATGGCCTGACCATACACATAGAGAAAATAGCCCCTGATCCACAACCTGCACAGAAACTAGCTGTTCTTCTAGCATGAACAGCCCAGGAAGCCAGATTGTGTCTTTAACAATGCAGGAAGCTACGCAGCTATCAGATCCAAATGCCAAGTTAACACTTTGCCTAATTTTGTCCTTGCTTCTAACTCAGCACCAACCTGCGAAGGCCCACTGTGGTCTCCATGACAAACCACATAGGATGCCTCCAGCCCTGACCAGCCGCCCCCAGCTTCCCAGGCACACAGCCTCTACTGGCTGCACACCTGGCAGTTGAGACTCTGCCAAAAGGCAATTAACAATGGCCAACTCCCCTAGTAAGCTCTGCATGAACAGCTTAGCTCGTTCTCCCCGGTGATTGGGCCAACTGAGTTTTTAATGTCTAGGACTTACTGCTTTTTTTTTAATGGACACTTTAAACAACTGGATGAAGCGGTACAACACTGCAGACAATAAGCAAAAGCAAAACCAGGATCTGCACATTGGGAACTGGATGGATTACCGCCTGGGGGGAATCCGGGTTCTCACTAGACAGGACAATGGAGACAGGAGGAGGAAGAGCATCCCAAGCAAGAACCGCGAGAGAAGTGGTTGCCAGGATTGCGGGCTCAAGAGTCAGTCTAGGGAAGGCGGGAAAATGAGACCGGCAGATCTCCAACACCCTGCGAACCCTCCGCCCGGGAACCACTTAGACCCTCAGACCCTCGCAGTTTCACCGCCTCCGAACCCCGCTGTGGGCGGAGCTTCCCTCTTATGCCCTCTGCGCACGCGCAGAGGGACGTATTTCCCCCCGAGCTGACGTCACGTCCGGCGGCAGGGGTTAGCGGCGGTGCTTAGAGTGCGGCGGCCGGGAAGGCCCGGGCGGGAGCGGGTGTCTTGCGGCGTTGCGCCCCTCGCCTGCCTGACCCCGGACCTTGGGGTTCCGCCTGCCCGCCGGTGGGGCCCCCGGCCTGCTTTCCGCAGCCTCCCCGGATCACTTAGTCTGACCCCGGGTGTGTGTCCACTACTAAGGTGAAGCATTCATGGCAGGGAGAGTGGGACCTGGGTCTGGACCAGGGTGCTTGTGCCTTTCCGGTCCGGTGGACGCACCTGGGCAGGAGATGTAACTGACAGTATTTGCTCCTTGCCGCCTTTGCCATCACAGTGAAGTCTACGAATGGGTGTCCTGAAACTACAGAGGCCGTTTGAATGCTTTAAAAGAACAAGTCTCCAAACTCTTTGCATTTTAACGCTTTGAATTTTTTTTAACAGCTTATTAGTAGAGCTTGGACTCTAAAAGCAAGTCTAAATTCTAAATTGCTTTTTAAGATGAATCCCAATCTTTCCTCTAAGTGAATTGGTTTGGATGATGTGTTAATCAAAAAAAAAAGTAAAAGAAGAAATCTTCTCTCGACCATTGGGGGCGTCTTAGGATTTTTAGTAGCTGAAGACTTTTTTTTTTTTTTGGAACATCTCAAACGTTTGGCGGAAGCAGTGCAATAATATTCTTTTGGAAGATGCGTTAGCACCAGTCTAGTTTGATCTTTTGTTGTTTACCACTGGGATGAACGCTGTGATGAAAGAGGTGTAGGTCACTGAGATGTTTTGTGTTCTGCCAGGTTTTAGATAGTTTTTCTGCCTTCAAGTGACTGTGATGTCACTTGCCGACCATCTGTATCCCTTGGCATCTTCTAGTTACGCTTTAATGCTGTTTATTTGTCGAAGGTTTTGAATTTTGATAATTACATTTGATAGGATTGTGTTTACAGTAAGAAAAAAAAATAAAGGCAGAACTTGTGGATTTTTAGTTGTATATAACTTCATTTCCTCAAAAGCCCATTGTAGGGAGCACAGCTGAGCAAAACAAAGAGAATTGAAATCATCTGGACTCTTGCTACCTAAAGATAACTGTTCTTAACATTTTGGATGTCCTCTTAATGCTTAAAAAATGCGTATATTGCAATAAAGAAAAACAAGCAGAATCAGTGTGCTATTAGATAACCCTATGCATAACATAATTTGCCTGCTTTTGGGTTTCATTTTTTTTTTTCTTTGTAAGTTTAAGATGGCTTCAGAATATTCCACTGTGCTAGGAGCTCTGGTAGGTAAGGTAGAAACCCCAGTGTCTACACTTGGTGCCCTGTTTTAGCAGTCTGGAGGACTGTTGACTTTTGTGTTCAAGTTGCATAGGTGAAGTAGGGCTAGACCTGTGTCAATGGAAAGATTTAACATTGTGTCTTATATGAGGGCAGGCAGCTCATCACAGCATATCTGACTGTTGGAAAAGGTGGAGAAAAATCAATGAATTTTTTCAGTTTTTTGTTTTTAGACACTCTCATTTTTCTTTTTCTTCCCTTCAAGAATGAAACATGGCTGAAGACACTCAGAGAAATTTTCGTTCTGTGTATTATGAGAAAGTAGGGTTTCGTGGAGTTGAAGAAAAGAAATCACTGGAAATTCTCCTGAAAGATGACCGTCTGGGTGAGTTTCATTCATTTAATTAAGTGTATTGATTCAGTCATTGTGATATTCTGAAGTAAATAGTACCTTAAAGGACTTACAGGGGTATTTGCTACTTGATGTATTTTTTGGTGAGGTTGTACACCAGAGTAGTGTATTGTGAGAAAAGGTTTTTTTTATATATATATAAAATTCACTGCGAGGCAGAAAGTTTTGCAAGGCTTCTTAAAAAGACAATACTGTTTGGTGTGGTGGTCCATTCCTTTAGTTGTAGCATTTGGGAGGCAGACAGGTGAATCTCCGTGAGTTCCAGGCCAGCCAGGGGCTACATAGTGAGGTCCTGTTTATTTAAAAAGAAGAAGACGAAGAAGGAGGAGGAGAGGGAGGGGGAGGGAAAAAGTGAAATTTTTTTTCTTATTAAACCTATATTTTCCCCCTCTTCAATTTATAGGTATATCATCATAGTTCCTAAGTAAACTTTTTACAAGAATCTTAGTCATGATTTCCTTTTATGGAAGTTTGACTTCATTACTTATTAATCTTTTAGTTTATTTTAAGCCAGCCTTAATACAGTCTGTTGTTGTTCACAGTGAAATAAAATGAACTGTAGTTTAAAAACAGTACTTCAAGTTGGACTTGGTAGCTCACTCCCTTACTCCCAGCAGGCAGATCTCTGTGAAATTGAGGCCACCCTTGCCTACGTAGTGAGTTCCAGGCCAGCTGGGGCTACAGGGAGACCCTTTCTCAGTAAAACCAAAAACCTAAAACCAAAACCAACCAACCAAACAAAAACCCAGTACTTCACTTTTATAAAGTGCTTCTTTATGTTGTTGGCAAGTGTCAGGAATGGAATCCAGAGTCTAGCACCCGCTAATCATGCGCTGTACTCCTGAGCTACACTACCCCCAGACCATGCAGAGTGCTTTTACAGTGCCAAAAATGTGCTGTACCTGATGTTGGGTCCTCATTTTTAAGTATGTCAGGCATTATTATTCTCCTTTGATAAGAAGAGGAATCGAGGGCCAGGGCCATTCACTATAACTTCTTGGGGTACCACTCACTAGCTGTTAACTTGGTCAAGTCACTTAGCTACTCTGAACTTGTTGTATTTTCAGAATAATAACTACTTGATGATCTTGTAAAGTGAAGTAAATGAAATCAGTTCTATATTGCTACTGTTATAGGAAATGTAGTGTATGTGAAACACATCTCTTCGGCTGCAAGTGGTTAAGAACACTGGCTGTTCTTGTAGAGGACCTGGGTTTGAATCCCAGCACCCACATGACAACTAATAATTGTCTGTAACTCCAGTCCCAAGGGATCTGACAGCCTCTTTTGTCCTCCACAGGCATTGCACGACACGGGTGCACTTACCTACATGCAGGCAATACATGCATACACATAAAATAAAAAATAATATAAAAAAATTTTAAATGCTATTTTAGATAGATTAATTGGTAGAAGAGGTGGGCTAGAAATCAGACCAAAAATTCATTTCCTAAAATTTCTGATCATCCAGTAGATTTCTCTGAACCAGACTTTCAGTTTTCAACAGTGAATTTTTATTCTCATGCACCATGAGCAGCATGAAGCATTTCTAATTGTTTCTTTCTTCTTCTAGATATTGAGAAGCTTTGCACTTTTAGCCAGCGGTTCCCGCTCCCGTCCATGTACCGTGCACTGGTTTGGAAGGTGCTTCTAGGTATGAGACCCGAATTGGGGAATTTATCTTCAAAGGTCTTGAATGGGATCCTTTGTCATCATGCAGTTAGAAAGGGAGGATTTTCTCTGGCCCTTAGCTGAATATTGGGTCTTCCTCAAGAGACCCAATTACTGTTCACTCTAAAAGCCTTTAGGATGATGACTTCAGCAGATATATATTAAGTATCACTCTAGGAGGGCCAGCCATTAGTGACAGAAAAGAAGGTAATGTATGTTCCTGAAGTAAAGCCATTGTGAGCTCATGTGTCTGGTGCATCTCTGTGTGACTGCCGTCTGCAGAAGTGATGTCAGCTTTTATAATTTTTCTCTGAGCATTTTTCTTAAATTTTACTTGAAAATTTTGCATCCATAAAAATCAGTTCCTTCCAAGGGTGCACTTTAGGTGATCATGTCAGTGGGCAAGAACATGGGACTAGGAGGGAGGAAAACTGGCCAGTCTTTGCTGTCAGCTGGGTAGCCACTGTGGGCTTCATGTTTTTGTGTCTGTTGCATGAACATCTTGAGCTGAATTACTTTTAGCTTTTAGCATTAAAATGCAGTGTATTCTGTGACTCTCAATAGTAGAGGTATCCTAATGTGTGCTGTCAAGAAGGAATGAGCCAGGCATAGTAGCAAATGCCTGGATTCCCAATACTTAGAATTTTTTTTAAAGCTTGAGGCACTGGGCTTCAGCCCTGTGAGTCTTAGGAAAGCCTTCGCCACATTACAGAATACCACCTTACACAAAAGGAACTAAATTTGACAAATTATAGGTCCTTTGAATACCTTGGAGCATAGAAAGTGAAATGTATTAAAGGGAAAATAAACTTCAGTGGGACTTTTTTACATATTGTCATTTATTTATTTTTGGTCTATACCACTGTTAATTGAATCAGTCTCTTGTGGAGGTCCATAAATTCCCCTTGGTTCTTAGAAATAAAAATGAGATGACAAAAAAGAGTGAGGAATCTGAGGTTTCTCTGCCTAGATGAGAGTGAAAATTCTAGTGCTGAGAGGCTGATGGAGAAGGAACACTGACTTGCTTGGTTTCTCCATGAGCAGCTGGGAACATCCCTTTCCAGCCCAGGATTTCCACCCCTGTCATTGCTGAGCCTGCTGGGACATAAATCCCCATTCATTATTGCCCTCCATTTCTTTAAAATATTTATTATTTTTCTTTTATGTGTTTGAGTGTATGGCTTGCATAGTAGGTGCACCTGCATCATGCGATGTCCAAGGAGGTCAGAAGACGGGATCAGATCTCCTGGAACTGGAGTTATAAACAGTTGTTAACCACCATGTGGGTCCTGGGAACTGAACCCAGGTCCTCTGTAAGAGCAGCCAGTGCTCTTAACTGCTCAGCCATCTCTGCAGTCCCATCGCTCCATTTCTTTTTTAAATATTTATTTTTTTTATTTTATGTGTATGAGTGTATTGCCTGCATGTAGGTAGGTGCACCTGTGTTGGGCAGTGCTGCAGAGGTCAGAAGAGGGCGTTGGGTCCCTTGGAGCTGGAGTTACAGATGATTGTTAACTGCCATGTGGGTACTGGGACTCGAACTTGGGTCCTCAGCAAGAGCAGTCAGTGCTCTTAACCACTGAGCCATCTCTCTAGCCCCCATCCCTCCATTTCTTTAAGAGTTTAAATTTGCTAACTGCAAGATAGTGGTGAGAATGGAGCCTTATGAAGAATATGAACTACTCATTTATTGGGCTTTGGTGGGTGCTATCACTAAGCCAGATAGTGTACATAAATTCTGTAGAGCAGTCCTAGAATTCTCCTGAGGTAAGTCTTACTATCCCAGTTTCACAGATGGAGCCTAAATCACTTGCCTAAGGCCTGTGACAGGAGCAGGGGTTTAAAACTTAACATTTGTAGAACTCATTTGAAGGTGGGATAGATAATAGACCTCCTCTTGTAGTGTATGTTTAGAACTAGAGAACCGTGCAGCCCTAAGTCTGGTTATGCCTATGGAGGTAACGAGGGAACAGAAGCCATTCTAGGAGGCACATCCTAATGGCTTTTTTGTTGAGCATCTTGGCAGCATTTTTGCGCTTGTATCTTGTGGATCTCTGTGTGGTTACAACCCACAGAAGGGACAGTAACTGTTTATGTTTTTCTCAGAGTAGTTTTTTTCTGAAGTCTTGCATGAAAATTCTGTGGTCATCAAAATTGGCTCCATCCAAGGGTTCTTTTAGATGGTCATGTTGCCATTTGTCCTGGGCAGTCCTGTGTGTCTTAATAATGGGAAGTGTCATCTTGGGCTTTGCTGACTCTTCCTGGGTGCCAAGGCCTGTCTGACTTTAATTCTCATTTTTTTGCCTTTCTTTATCATCCAAGTAATTGTTAGTTTCTGCCATAGTTAGAGGTGCTGGGAGTAGAGAGCTGTCACAGTGTGAAGGGCTTTTAGCTGAGATTTTTGACTGCTGGTTTTCTGGTACTATTTTTGGTAAATATCAGGGAGAACATTTAGGACCAACTCATAGAAAACAGGCTTAACGTTTAATATTGTGCTACCTATAGTAGGTTCAACTATGGCTCCTTAATCTGTGCCAGCCCAGATGTAGAGGACACTTGAGTGTATTTGCTTGACTTCTCTGAGAGCCTGGCACAGAGCTCCACAGCCACCATGAGTGAGAGTTTACGTCAGGAAAGAACATTTAAGCAAGTTTTATAGCTGGAGAGTTTTGAGCTTTATCTAATGGTTGTTGCCCCTAATTTCTTTAGAATAATGGAAATGTGGGGTCTAGAGGGAGCAACAGTGTAATGAGCTGGTTGACACAGCGTGTGCCAGCCACTCTCCTGGGTGCTTTATGTACACGAGCTTGTCTCTTCACCACAGCTTATAAAATTGGGGATTATCTATCATCCCCGTGTTTCAGATAGGCAGAAGCTGAGGCAAAGGAGATTGAGGGACTCGCCAAAGGTCCTTGAGTTGGTTCATGGTAGAGCTAGAAATCAAACCCAGGAACCTTGATTCCAGAGCCTATGATTCTATGCAGCCTCATTACATGTAATAGGGATGGAATAAATACAGTGAAAAAAATTGTTTATACTGAAACCAAGAGCTGTGAGAACATATTGTTATCATTGTGCACACCACTTTTACCATGGTACTGCTTTCTTATGCAGACACCTGTAGCTCAGATTCTGCAGGGAACATTGGTGAAAGGCTTCTCTATCCCATCTTTTGCCTCTCATAGATGAGGACACAAATGCTCACATTTGTGAGAGATTGACATATTAGTGAGAGTTGAATCCTGAGTCACCAGAGGCGTGGCTGGTAGTCTTCCTGTTGTTTTCACTAGGCCAGCTGCTTATTAAAAAAAAAAAAAAAAAGAGGGAGGCCAGCGGGATGGCTCATTGGTAGAGGAGCTTTCCTCAAAAGCTGGGCAAACCTGACTGAGCTCAAAGGTGGAAGGAGAAAACCTGCTCCACGAAGTTGTCCTCTGACCTCCACACATGTGCCGCCCAATACCAGCCTCCCCCTCCCCCCATCATACACACTCTAAAGGTGGTTTTGTTCCAAAGCTTTGTGAGCGGACAGTATGGTTAAATGAACTAGTGCCGACGAAGTGTCACAGAAACAGTGTAAGGTGACCACAGGGTGAAGGCCAGGGGCTTCTTTTGCCCCTGTGATAGGATACTCTTTGGACAAGTTTTAACTGTTGAGGAGGAGAAAGAGTCAACAAACTGTTAATGGTTCTGAGATGTAGGAGGCCAAGTTTCAGAAGTGGGGAGAGGCCCCAGGAGATGCCTCAGGCTGTTAGAACATTATTATAATTGATGTTCATTGTCTTGAAGCTGTCACATTTATTCAAAGGCTTTTGAGATACCATGCATTTCTCACTAATATCAAAGATGTGCCATCGGTGATGTGATTTAACACTTAAATTTGTTAGAGACTTTTGGAAAGGGGATCCATATGGCCATTATTTGTGTGAATTCTAATCCCATGGGCTGCTTCTCACAGTTTTCACTAGAGGAGGGATTTGGAAGGGTGTCTCAGCTCTTGCCTTGTCTGTGTAGGGATCCTGCCTCCACATCACGAGTCCCATGCCCAAGTGATGGCCTATCGCAAAGATCAGTACTCTGATGTCCTTCACGCCCTGAAAGTAGTTCGCTTCATCAGTGACACCACCCCTCAGGTTGAAGTCTACCTTCGGATGTATCAGCTGGAGTGTGGGAAGTTGCCTCGAAGCCCCTCGTTTCCTCTGGTTAGTGGTCACTTTCTCTTGATATTTAACCCTTTTTTAAAAAGTTACTTTTTAATTTTATCTGTATATGTTGTTTGTAGAGCGGAGGATTGAACCTAGATCCTCATGAATGCTAGGCAAGCACTCTACCACTGAGCTACACGACCAAGGCTTTGTTGTTGCTTGTACTATTTTGCATGTTTTGTCTTAGAGACTTTCAGTGACTTCCTGTGGTCCGCAGAATGGAAGCAGCTTTCCCTGGGTTCCATAGTCCTATACAACGTACTTTAGTTTTTTTGTTTTTTTTTTTAATTTTTTAAAAATGCATTTTATCTTAAGTGCAGTCACACATTGCTTTGGCAGGGACATATTCAGAATATGGCAGGGACATATTCTGAGAAATGTGTCATTAGACAATTTCATCATATTTGTAAATATCACATATTTATATTATATATTTATATTTACTCAAACTGAGATGACTGTGACATCACTAGGCAATTTAATCATGTAGGGTAACCATTCTAGTTTAAGCCTCTGGCTGATGATTATGTGGTACATGACTGTAATTTAAAACTTACAGACACAAAAATACTGCTAAGAATTTCCATATCTTTTTACCTACATTCCCAGTTGTTAACATTTAATGACATCTGCTTTGTTATTTTTTTTTATGTATGTTCTCTCCCTTCCTCCCTCCCTCCATCCCTCCTGCCCTTCTTCCCTTCCTTCTTTTTTGGGACAGGATCTCACTATGTATGTAGCACAGGCTAGCTTCTAACTTGATCCCCTCCTGCCCCTGCCTCCTGAATGCTGGGATCATAGGTGTGAACCACCATGCCCAGCTATGTACACCGCCCCCCCCCCCTTTTTTTTTGGCCTTTTTGAGACAGGGCCTCCCTGTAGCCCCAGCTGTCCTGGAACTCACTATGTAGACCAGGCTAGCCTTGAGCTCGCAGAGATCCGCCTGCCTCTGCCTCCTGAGTGCTGGGATTAAAGGCCTGCGCCACCACACCTGGCTTTGTACACACCCTTTTTTATAAGCCATTTGAGAGTCAGGTTTAGTCATGATGCTCTGTTACTTCAGAGGCCTTCAGAATTTAACTTGTCAAGACAAGCAGAGCTCGACAGAACTACAGAAGCTCTCAAACCCAATGGCTTGGCATTGAGAAGAATGTTCCTATCTGGTTACAGCCTCCATTCATATTTGCCTGATTGTCTTAGTAATGTCCTTTATCTCAAGTAAACAAATGTTGAGGAGTCAGTCTCGGACTCGGGGTTACACTGAGTTGCCATGTCTGTAGTCACCTTTGATTTGGGACAGCTCTTGTGTCTTTATCTTTCATACCCTTGACATTTGACACATGTAGGTAGGTCAGTGATTTTGCAGAAAGCCCCTCACTTTGGGGCTCCTGCTCTCTCCTGGTGTGCTCTCTCCTGGTGTGCTCTCTCCTGGTGTGCTCTAGGCTGTTCCCTCTTGCCAGGGATACACATGAGTGGTGCTCTGCCCTTTCCAGTGCACCATCTCGGGAGTCCGGCCACACAATATGGATTTGTCCCATGAAATGTCATGTTAACTTGGACCATTTGATAAGGAAGGACCGCTACGGTTTTCCACTGAGAAGTTCTTTTTCCTTCTGTAATCAGTATATTTCTTTGTGGGAAGAAACTTTGAAACTATTATGGAAATATCCCATTTCTTATTAAAGTTTGGTTCATACATTTGACCATTCACTGATTTAAATTTGTTTTAACTTTTCATCTTTAAGTAATTTTGGACATAGAGAAAAAGTCATAAAGCAGTACACCACCCTATACATTTGCCTAGCGTCCTTATATGCTGCGTCTTATGAAACCATCGTGTGAAGATCAGAGCTTCCAAATTAGCTTTGACACAGGGCTAGGACCTAAGCTGTACTTATTGAAGACTTGCTGCTTGTCCCCGGATGCCCTTCTGACCTGAGGCACAGTCCTGGATCACACGTTGCTGCTTGTGCCCCCATGCCCTTCTGACCTGGGGCCCAGTCCTGGATCACACACTGCAGCTAGTTCCCATGTGTTTGGTCTTTTACCCAGAGCACTTCTTTGGTCTTTCATGACCTTCCATGGCACTTTTGAAGAGTGTGGGTCTCTCTAGTATCTCTCCATTTGAGACCAGCTACATAGTAAGATATTCCTTCAAAAAATAATTGACTTACTTTTGTTAATGGATTTTTGAAGTTAATGATAAATCTTAGTGCTAATAAGTGTCACCCGTTTACTCTTATCATTGCATTTAGGAAGAGAGAGAAGAGTCCTAAAAATTAAGTGAAATTCGTGACAATCTCCTTTAAGTTTCGCTTATCATTAGTTCTGTGTTTCTGGGATTGATTCCAGTGACCTCACACATGCTAGGCAAATGCTGTACCACTGAGCTCCATCCCTAGCACTGTTTTTTTTTACCTTTTATTAAGTTGTGCAGGCCTGGAACTTATAATCCTCCTCTTATATTACCTGAGTAGCTAAGGCTACAGGCCTAAGCCTCCAGGCTGGGCTGTGAGTTCTTAAATTACTTATTAAATTAGGTTGGCTCTTCTGTGAGTGCATGAAATCTGAATTACAGTTATGGCTCCCCCCTCATCCCTACTCCCTGGCCATGCTCTGAGCCCAGACCACTGCAGCCTTGAGCACACTTGCTGTCCGAATATGGGTGTGGGGCTCTGCCTCCCGACCCCTCCGTAGTCACCAAGCCCCACCTGCATTGTTATCTGGTGGTGAGAGTATGTGACAGCACTCAGCTAGAACAGCTGGCTGAAGACATTAGTCTCCTTCCTTTGACCTGTCAGAGTGCTGGGAGCAGCCAGTGACGTGCCACCCACAGGCTCACCCAGACCAGGCCTAGGACTGTGGAGCCCACGTGGGAGCCCAGGGGAGAATTTCCTTTCTTTTTTCTTGCTGCTTTTCTGTTTTCCTTGAGTACCTTAGTAAAATGCTTAGAGAAACATATTTCCTATGATTCTAACTCTCTTACTCTGGACATTTTGTGGAATATCAGCAAGTTGAAAGAAGGCCTAAGATGGGCTGGAGAGATGGCTTAGCAGTTAAGAGCACTGGTTGCTCTTCCAGAGGGCCCAGGTTTGATTGCTAGCATCCACACGGTGACTAACAACTATCTGTAACTCCAGTTCCAGGGATCCAACACTCTCTTCTGACCTCTGTGGGTATTGTAGGACACGACTGCACTTACACACATGCAAGCAATACACCCTAAAAATAAAAATAATAATTAACATTTAAAAATTAAAAAAAGAAGGCCTAATAATGAATACTTTTTTATTAAAACAAGAGTTTTGATTTAACCTTATTAATTCCTTTTAACCTTAAATTCTCAAAATATAAAATTCTAGATGAAAATGAAAGATTTTTATTTTGGTTTTGGTATATGATGGCAATGTTTGAAAACAGTAGGTTTCCAAATAGGATCGCAGCTTAAAAAATAATTAATTAATTTTTATGAGTAGGGGTGTTTTGCTTGCATGTATGTAAATGTGCTATGCACATGCAGTGCTCATAGAGGGCAGAAGAGGGCATCATACCCCCTAGAACTGGCGTTGCAGTGGTTGTTAGCTGCCATGTGGGTGCTGGGAATCACACTGTGATCCTCTGAAAGAGCAGCCAGTGCTCTTAAGCACCGAACCATCTCTCCAGGGTTCCAGTTTTCATAAGATTTCTCTATTGAAATTTACTTAAGGTTTTATTTTCATGGTCTGAATATTGACAGAAGAGAAAAATCCATCTTTTGATTCCTGAAATTCTGCATCTAGGGACGTTTTAACTTTTTAGGTAAAAAAGAATCCTAAAGCAGTGTGTGAAAGTTTTGAAATAGAGCAGATGTTTGGGGGGCCTTTGGAGTCCTTCAGTGTGCATAAGTTGCATGTCCCAGGAATCGTCTTTGGGGGGCTGGCAAGATGGCTCAGTGGTTAAGAGCACTTGCTGCTTTTTCAGAGGACCTGTTCCCTGCACCCACATGGCAGCTAACAACCATCCGTAACTCCAGTTCCAGGGAACCCAATGCCCTCTTCTAGCTTCTGTTCTGCAGCATCACACACATGTGGTGCACTTACATACTCAGAGCAAAACATTTATACACACAAAATAAAAATATATCAGAAAAATGAAGCAAGTGAAAAACTAACAGAGGATGGTTTTTATTATCACGTACTTTTGAAAGAAATCCTAATCTAGCACTGATTCCGTGTTTGGGTGGAGAGAGACCTCACCTTGCCTATGATTTCGGGAGACTGACAGGCTACAGGGGAGGAGCTACACCCACTTCACCTGAAAAGCAGCTGTTCTCAGCCAAGCTGACCCCCATAGACCTGTGTAGCTACGGTTCCTCGCCTCCCCTGCCCTTCTAATGGATGCACTCTGCTTTCTGATCCCTCTTTGATTTATTAATGCAGCCTTTTTGAAATGCAGGGGACAAAGTTGCATTTTCAATAAAGAAATGTGTCTTCTGCCTCCCTCTTGAGATTTCTTATTAATCTTTCAGGAGCCAGAGGATGAAGTGTTTCTTGCCATTGCTAAAGCCATGGAGGAGATGGTGGAAGACAGTGTGGACTGTTACTGGATCACCCGATGCTTTGTGAACCAGTTAAATAACAAGTACCGGGAATTTTTACCCCAGCTGGTGAGGGACTTTTTATTATTTTTGTGGGGTGTTACTGGGGTGTAAGAAATGTCGGAGAACACTTTTACCTCCAGGTGCTGTTGTGGTGATGAGAGGACCCTCTGAAATAGTGCTTGGCAGATGTTCTCTGTAAAAGGCAAGAAAGTATTTTCAATGGAATGGACCTAGTGGTCTCTGTCCCAGCTGCTCAGCTCTGCACAGAGGCAACCATAGACTTCAGGGTCTCTACTGAGGTGGATTCACCCTGCTGCAGGCCTTCCTACTCTGTAGGGGTCCTTATCCTGGCTCCTGGTCCAACAGCCACTGACTTTGTCTAGAATGGCCCTGTGTGTTAGTTAGGGTCTCTCCCTGTTTGTAATAGAAATAATAATAATATTTATTATTATTATTTATCTTCTGAGTAACAGAAGCTTGATTCTTCTCACATAGCCAGAAGCCCAGAGGGACGGCAACCAGAGCTGGTGCTACAGCACTGTGGTACGGATGGGACTCCAGGCTCCTGCTGTTTTGCTCCAGCGTGCTTAGACACAGGCCTTCCTCTTCAGAGCCCACAGTGGCTGTGGGAGCAACGGCCATGATGTCCATGTGCTAGGAAGGCAGGAAGGGAGGAACAAAGGTAAAAGTGAAGGAGGAAGAGGGACAAGCCAGGGAGGCCTGTCACTCTCAAGTAGACACTCCTTCTACATGTATTCAGAGTCTCAGCTTGCTGTGGTGTTACATCCTGAGAAATCCATCTCAGGATGAAATACTATAGGTTACAAATGTGTATCCTCTACTTAACCTCCTGCACAGCTGCGTTTAGCAGCACAGTGCACTGCAGAGTAGGGCTTGTTTCTCCTTGTCATGACCAGGGGACTGTGTCATACCACATATCTCTACTAGGGAAAAGATCCAAACCCAAGATTTGAAGTATGGTTTGTATGAATGCATATTGCTTTCATACCATTGCAAAATCAAAAGACGTTCAACCATCATAAGTAGGGGACATGTATATTAGTGGCCAGGGTCTGTTGCTTAGCTCTCCATTTCCATTGAAGGCCAAGATACCTGGCTTTTAAGCCTGGCACATGGTGATGTCCCATTAAAATGGGATTGTGTATGTGAAGGACAGAGGTGCCTTGGTGGGGCTGGCAGCCATTTCTGCACCATGCTGTGGCCTGGGAATCCTGTGAGCCAAATGGCACCTGGTCCATGGCGTGAGCCAGTCTTCCTTAGCTAGTCTCTTTTTATCCCAGTTAAAAGAAAAGGTTTGTTTTTATTTGTGTGTGTGTGTGTGTGTGTGTGTGTGTGTGTGTGTGTGTGTGTGTGTGCCTGCATGAGTTTATGCATATTATGTGCATGCAGGAACCCATAGAGGCCAGAAGAGGGCACCAGATCTCCTGGAATTGGAGTTAAAGGCAGTTTTGAGCTACTGTGTGGGTGCTATGAACTGAACCTAGGTCTTCTGCAAGACCTTACCACTGAGCCATCTTTCCAGCTCACTTGCTAGTTTTTTCTCTTATTTATAAAAATCACTATGTCTTTTTAAAAATGTTGAATTGTTTCATTTGATGCAATTATTTTATTTTT